GCCTTAGCTAAATTCACAAAACAATCGACCGATCAACAGCGGCAAAGACCGCACTTTCCCGCCAAAAGAATGCTTTTGTCTGCGTGTACTGGTTTGCGGTTTCCCGAACAAGCAATGAACAAAATGGCGATACGAAAACTGTGAATGGAAACCGGCCGTAAAACATGAGGTAACGTGTTCTGGTCATTTATTTGCAGTATTAGTTTTCAAAAAGCGATAAAAAAACTGTCTCTCTAAATAACTAACCAGTTTTAGCGTAAAGGAATCCTAATTATTCGAATTGTTGTGGGTTTCATAGTCGCATATTGTAAACGTGAGAATTTTCGTGATCGCGCAAAATTGACTTGCAAATCGGTTTAAGTTGAGCTTTAAGTTTCTTTGTGCGATAGCGAAAAAGATTAGTAGCGATTAAAGAATTCAGGCCCAATATTTGGTCCATCGCATTTACATATGTCAGTGCGTTTTAAATGAAATGAAATCAAAATTTATTTATTTAACTCAGCTCAGTTAACTACTTGTAAGTTTATAGACTTTATAGTATACTGCAGGTAAATGGACAGATCATCACATTTAAAAATAAAGAATACCGAGAACGAGGTCACGACAAAGATGCTATTCGAGTCCTTATTTTTTTGATGAGATGTAAAGTTGTATGATAATCTTAAAGTGGCTAATATAACATAAATCTCGTGAATGAAATATGGAGTTCAAATCTTATAAAATGTGCGGTTTGCCTTCCTCTTGACCTTGCGTGCTTTTTTACGTTGTTTTCCTTTTAGGTGTGCACCTTCCTAAGCCTGGATCATGGCCACAATGTATGCGAGGGAATAATGGGACAATAGCAACTAGCAAACCAAATCCACCTATTCAACCACCATGTGTACCTTGTGTTATTCCCCCGAACTGTCCTGTTCCACAACCATGCCCAACACAATGCCCTGCACCATGCCCTCCAGTGTCAACAACAACAACAACAATAACAACAACAACAGCCATACCACCACCAACTCCCGCACCACCACCAACAACAACGGCTACGATACCCTCCAAGCCATCGCCTCCAGTACCAACAACCACAACAACAGCTGCACCACCACCATCCACAAATGCTACAACTCCCTCCAAGCCGTCACCTCCACCAGTTACTCAACCACCATGTGTACCTTGCGTGATTCCCCCGAACTGTCCTGTTCCACAACCATGCCCAGCACAGTGCCCTGTGCCATGCCCTCCAGTTGCAACAACAACACCAACAGCTGCACCACCCCCAACCACGACGGCTACAATGCCCTCCCAGCCGCCATCTCCACCAGTTACACCTACGATGAAAACATCAACTACAGTACAACCACCCCCTGTAACATCAAAACCTCCCCCTCCAGTAACAAAACCAAAATCTCCTGGTACAACCAAGCCTCCTGCTACAACAAAACCTCCAGGACCTACAAAGAAACCACCTCCTGTTACTCCTCCTTTTAAAACGACAACAAAACCAAGTGTAGTAGTGACAACAAAACCAGTTACCACATCACCCAGGCCTCCTGTTGTGCCAACAAGTGAGTTAAATGCTATCATGTTGTATTTTTAAGGCAACTGAAACCAAACTTTAAGTTAATTTGTAAAATTAAAAATAAGCTGTAATAATAGCAAAATTTGTATAGTTGTACAAGCATCTTAGTCTAAATCCAGAAATCAAAAGTATAAATTTTCAATGAACTCAAGGTACATGTATATTACTAATGCTGACCCAGAAGAAAAAAGGTGGACAACCCCTTCCCTCCCCCACCACCACCCCACTAAAAAAACTGTTAAAAACATACATGCAAGAAGTTAAAAGGTAACTAAAATTCCATGTGAATCAGCCAAATAAGTAAGGAAATATCTGGAACTTTCAGTGGTATCTACTCAGGAAAACTGATTAGAAGTGATATCCAATATTTTGGGAGACCAGGAGATTTTTTCCATATCCTGAGGAGACTTCTTGATTCCCTGAGAGAGAGTTAAAATTTGTTGTTGTTTTTTTTACTTGCAGTTATGGGGGACTTATCATGTTGGATTTGTTTTACATATGCATGACTTGTTTCAATGCTGTAATGTCGTATACCGTCATGTTTTCACCAGGCTACCATCTTGCTCTTAATTGATTTAGCATTTTGTCAGCACCCTGTCGCATGTCTCAGTTTTTATTCTTTAAAACACTAATTAAGCATCTTTTCACATTTCATTTCCCCTTTAGCTCCAAAGCCTCCTGGTAAGTGTCTACAACACCATCTCTTTGATAATCATTCAGGATATAAATTTATTGAGTGACTTATAAAGCCATAATTTTCATTTAATGTACAATTGTCAATACATGTAATGTATGATTTGATATAACTGAATGCTACAAGGATACAGCATAACTTGTAAAAAGAATGTCTCTTACTGTAGGATTAAAAAAAGTAGCATTCAGCAGGCACCATATCTAACCATTAATAGTTTGGTGATGTCCTCATTTACATTGTCTTTATTGTTTTAGAAATCAGGTTGCATGCAATTCGAGAATGCTTTAAGCCTTTTTAATTTACCAAGAAGAATTTGCATATTAAAAGTATTGAACAGCAACCTTGTGATTTAGTAGTCAAAGGAAATCTAAGTTAATTATTGTCAAATCCTGTATTGGTCATCAATTTGGCATATTTTCCAGAAATTGTTGTTGCCAATGATGATTTTTTTTCACCAAGACAACTAAAACAGTCCAGAAAAATCCTGACTATGAAATAAGTGTATGTAGTAAAGAGAAATTTACAGGCAATAACTGCATGTACTTTGACCTTTATTTCATAATCAATGCTGTAAGTACAGTATACAGTGTGCACAATGAACACGCCATATCATTCGTTCCTGTGTCATGTAGCCCATATAAATATAATTCTTGTGATGTGGTTATTACTAGTAAATGGAAACTATACCTCTTGGAGTGTATGGTCAGAGTGTTCAGCTACTTGTGGTGGCGGTATTCAAGAGAGGACCAGGGCTTGTACATATCCAAAACCTCAAAATGGGGGAAAGGATTGTGCATTACTGGGCCCTGCTGTGGAAACACAGAGCTGTAACTCACAACCTTGCCCAAGTAAGTTTGTAATTATTAAAATCAAATCATAAATAGTTGTTATACATAAAGTACAACAAGAAAGTGGTTTCTATAATTAGGCATAGCTAGTATATGCAATTTCTGTAATCGGTTTTTTTTTTTTTTGCTGTTCTTTTTATAAATTCAAACTTTGATTATCATGGGACTTTGGGACAATGATCAAAAGTCTGTAGCTGAATATTGAATTACCTTTTTTAACATAACTTCATTTGAGTTGTGTAAACGTATATATACCTCTGTGGTTTTTGCTAGTGTGACCTTCAGAGCTCTGTTAATTAGCATGTGAATCAGTGACCTTTGACTACATGCAGTAAACATTGCATGTTAAAAAAAATAATCAAAATCCAGGGTTTACTGATAGTTGCCCACTTATTTTTCCCACTCATCTAGAGTGATTACTTTGGTTTTGCTTTATGACTCTCAATTGAAAACCACTCTGTGCTTGCTTGTCCAGACCACTGTTAACGTGCAACTTCTGCTATTTCAGCTGATGGTGGCTTCAGTAACTGGGGAGTTTTCACTCCTTGTAGTGCAACTTGTGGAGGAGGTGTGCAGTCTCGCAGCAGGGTCTGTGATAATCCTGCTCCTCAGTACAATGGAAAGGACTGCGTGGGACCAGTCAATGAAACAAGGGCATGCAATACCTTTTACTGCCCAAGTAAGTTTAATAAACTCTATCTTCACCTATTTAATTAGTATAGATAATCAAATGGTGACCAGTGGAAAATGCAGCAAAAGTTATTTCCGTATTTCACGAGTATACCATTTAAGGTTACCATACATGTATACCTTTAGAGGTGTCTCATATCCAAGTGATGTAACGTGTCCAGCTTAGGCTGTAGATACCTAAACCTCTGTCATCAAGTTAAAGCTTTTAGAGTTGGCTATCAAACCATAGCTTACAAGAATTTTGAAATAAAAATAATGAATTGTCAAATTTTTACGACCTCTAACTGCAAGCATCCAAATCACCTTTTGAAAGCTAACATTCAAAGCGAATTTTGTTTTT